TAGCCCCAGCTGTCCTGGAACTTACTATGTAGACCAGGCTGGCCTCTGCCTCCCAAGTGCTGGGATTAAAGGCGTGCGCTACCACGCTGGTGAATTGAGTCAACTTTTGAAGATAAAACTTGAAACTTACTGGGAGCTGCTATTTTACATTATGATTTTTTTTTTTTTTTTTTTTTTGGGTCTTTTTGAGACAGGGTCTCCCTGTAGCCCTGAACTCTCAGGGATCCGCCTGCCTCTGCCTCCCGAGTGCTGGGATTAAAGGCGTGTGCTACCACCCCCGGCTACTTTATGACTTTAAAAAAAAATTTTTTATTTTATGTGTATGCATATATTGCCTGAATGTAGGTAAGTGCACCCATGTCGTGCAATGCCCGCAGAGGTCAGAAGTAACCCAGTAACCCCTGGTGTTAGCTGCCATGTGGGTCTTCTGCAAGAACAACCAATGTTCTTAACCGCTGAGCCATCTCTCCAGCCCCTATGACTGCTTTTTAAAACTCTTTTGGCCAGGTGCAGTAGCACATGCCTTTTGATCCCAGCACTCAGGAGGCAGGGGCAGGTGGATCTCTGTGAGATTGAGGCTAGCCTGGTTTACATAGTGAGTCCCAGGCCAGTTGGGGCTACAAGGGAGACCCTGTCTCAAAGAAAAAAAAGATGATCTAGGCCCTAGGGAGATGACTCAACAGATTAAGAGCATTGACTGTTCTTGCAGAGGACCTGGATTTGGCTACATGGAAACCTTATCTCAAAAAACAAAAACAAAAATATCTAGCAGAAGTTGATTTGTTATTAAAAATCCTAATGGAGAGTAATGATTAACATCTGTATTCCCAGTACTCAGGAGGCTGAGGTAGGATGAGAAAGAGCTTGAGGCTGGGCTGATGAGATGGCTCAGCAGGTAAAGGCACTTGCCACCCAGCCAAATGACCTAGGTTCAATCCCTAGGACCCCACATGATGGACAGAGAACCTACTCATACAAGTTGTCCTCTGACTGCCAACATATGCTGTAGTACTTGCAACCAATACGAGATGAATTAAAAAAAAGCTTGAGGCAGGCAAGGAGTGGTTGTTTCATGTCTGTGATCCCAGCACTAAGCCTGAGTTACATTGTGAGATCTGTCTCAAAAACACATGCACAAAAAAGCTTGAGGCAAGTCTGGACTATATAATAAAACTCAATTTTTAAATATTTTTATATGTTATTTTTATTTTATGTGTATGAGTATATTGCCTGCATGTATGTGAGTGCACCTATGTCGTGTAATGCCATAGAGGTCAGAAGAGAGCTTCGGATTCCCCTGGAACTGGAGTTAAGGACGGCTTGTAGCTGCCATGTGGGTGCTGGGAACCGAACCTGGGTCCTCTGTAAGAGCAGTCAGTGCTCTTAACCACTGAGCCATCTCTCCAGCCCGACTCTTGATTTTTTAAAAAATTATTTGCATTACATGTACAAGTGTTTTGCTTGTGTATATGTAAGTGCACCATGTGTGTGCAATGCCTGTGGAGGTCAGAAGAGGGTGTTGGATCCTCTGGAGTTGGAGTTAAGAATGGTTTTAGCTGCCATGTGGGTGCTGGGAATCGAACCTGGGTCCTCTGCAAAAGCAGCCAGTGCTCTCAACCCCTGAGCCATCTCTCCAGTCCATCTTAATTTTTTAAAAGCCCTTTTTATGGGTTGGGCTTGGTAGCACATGCCTTTAATCCCAGTACCCAGGAGGTCGAGGGAGGAAGATCTCTGTGAGATCAAGGCCAGCCTGGTTACACAGCAAGTTCCAGGCCAGTTGGGGCTATAGGGAGATCCTGTCTCAAAAAAAGTTCTTTTTATGGTCTTCAAATAAAATTTTTTGGCAGTGCCGAGGAGACAACAGAAGGCCTTGAGCACCCTGCCACTAAGTGACACCCATAAGCCCTTGCATGGTTTTTGGGGAGAGGCTTATATATTTCTCTTCCTTATATTTCTTTTTTTTCATAGAGGGGTCTCACTATGGTACATTAAGCTGGCCTGGGATTTGCTTCTCCTGCCTTAGCTCCCATGTGCTAGGATTATAGGTAGCACAACACATCTGGCTTGTCCTTAAATATTAAAGTAACTAAGATTAACAAACGTCATTAATAATACATAAAAAATATGCTAGGTGGTTAAGAACACTGGTTGTTCTTGCAGAAGACCCAGGTTCGTATCCCAGCACCCACATGGCAGCTAACAACTGTCTGTTAACTCCAGTTCCAGGGGATCCGACAATCTCTTCTGTCCTCCTGGGCACTGTACGACACGGGTGCACTTACCTACATGCAGGCAATACATGCATACACATAAAATAAAAATAATAAATATTTTAAAAAATACTAGGGAGATGGCTCAGTGGGTAAAGTGCTTGGCACACAAACATGAGGATCTGAGTTCAAATTCCCAGAATCAATATAAACTCAGGTTTAGTAGTACATATCTGTAATCCCAGAAGACATGGGAGACAGAGCAGAGACAGAATTCCTCAGAGCTCAAAAGCTTGCTAGACCCTGTCTTAAGGTCTAAGGCAAGGACTGATATCAGAGGTTGTCCTCCAACCTCTACATGTATACAAAGTAAAAATCATACTTACTTTAGTTCTGTAAAAAAGTCTTGCATCTTCTCTAATATCACATTTAACATGCTTTTCCAAAGCCCCACAAAGTAGCACGAAGTGTTTCTGTACAAGACAAAACAAAGGCAACAGATGAAAATACTCTAAAGCATTGCAAAGGAATAGAGACGATGCACTTAAAATGACTAAATCATTTCAAGGCCTACCTGATGGAGTCCTATTAGTGAGAGTAGTTACTCCCCTGAGCACAGGATGGTTATGGTTTATTGCTAGTTAATCTTTTTTTTCTCTTAATATTTATTATTTTTATTTTATGTGTATGTGTGTATTGCCTGCATATAGGTAAATGCACTCGTGTCGTGCAATGCCCACAGACATCAGAAGAGGCTGTTGGATTCCCTGGGACTAGAGTTACGGACAGTTGTTAGCTGCCATGTGGGTGCTGGGATTCGAACCCAGGTCTTCTGCCAGAACAGCCAATGTTATTCTTAACTGCTGAGCCATCTCTCCAGCCCCGTTAATCTTAATATACAAAGGAGCCCTAGGTGTGGTGTGGCACATGCTTAAGAGTCCCTCCTATTTGAGGGGCTGAGGAAGGAGGACTGCTTGAGCCCAGATCACCCTGACAACTTATTTTTATAAATGAGACCCTGACTCTTATTTTTCCTTTATGAAGAAAAACTTTATTATTTTTTTTTTTCTTGAGACAGGATCTCTCTGTAGCCCCAGCTGACCTGGAACTCACTATGTAGACCAGGCTGGCCTTGAACTCAGAGATCCGCCTGCCTCTGACTCCTGAGTGCTGGGACTAAAAGCATGCACCACCATGCCTGATAGAATCTCATTATTATGGAGCCCTAGGCTGGTCTTAAACTCATAATACTTTTTTCTCCACCTTCTGAGCATGAAAGTGCTGAGATTACAGGCATATGACATTACTCCTGGCTCTTGTTTTACTTACTTTAAAAAAATGTATTATTCCAAGCTGGGCGTGGTGGCGCATGCCTTTAATACCAGCACTTGGGAGACAGAGGCAGGTGGATCCCAGCCTGGTCTACATAGTGAGTTCCAGAACAGCTGTTGCTACAGAGAGACCCTGTCTCAAAAAGACAAAAAAAAAAAAAAAAAAAAAAAGTATTCTTCCAGTGCTGGGTATGGTAGCATATGCCTTTAATCCCAGCACTAAGGAGGCAGAAGCAGGTGGATCTCTGTGAGTTGAAGTCTAGCCTGGTCTACATAGTGAGTTCCAGGTCAGCTGGAGCTACAGGGAGACCCTGTTTTTTTTTAAACTTTATTATGTCTATGTGCATGAGTGTATCTATGCCACAACACATGGGTGGAGCTTAAAGAACAGTTTTCCGGAGTGGCTTCTCTCCTATCTTTACATGGGTTCTTTAGGTTTGTGTGGCAAGCACTTTACCTGCTATATCTATCTATCTATCTATCTATCTATCTATCTATCTATCTATCTATCTATCTATCTACCTACCTACCTACCTACCTATCTTTTTTAATTAAAATATTTATTTATTTTGAGACAGTGTCTCCCTGTAGCCCCAGCTGTACTAGAACTCACTATGTAGACCAGACTGGCCTTGAACTCACAGAGATCCACCTGCCTCTGCCTCCCGAGTGCTGGGATTAAAGGCGTGTGCCACCACGCCCAGCATAAAACATTTATTATTTTTATGTGTATGCGTGTATTGCCTGCATGTAGGTAAGTGCACCCATGTCGTGCAATGCTCACGGAGGACAGAAGAGGCTGTCGGATCCCCTGGAAGTGGAGTTACGGACAGTTGTTAGCTGCCATGTGGGTGCTGGGATTTGAACCCAGGTCTTCTGCAAGAACAGCCAGTGTTCTTAACTGCTGAGCCATCTCTCCAGCCCCTATCAGGGTTTTACTATGGCCTGGAGCTTGCTATGTAGACCAGGCTGGCCTTGAACTCTGCCCCGACTGCTGTTATTATCCTTTATATTTTTACACTGTCTTCTTTTATTGTATTTTTCTATTTTTGAGATACAGTATGGCTATATTTTTCAGGCTGGCCTTGAACCCTTGGGTGCAAGCAATCCTCTTTAGTCTCCAGAGTAGATGGGATGACTGGCATGAGCCAAGTACATCCTGACTAGTCTCCTCCTCTCCCGCCAGTACTAGGGATTGAATACAGTACTCCCAGCATGTGAGAAAGTGCTCCAACCACTGAGCTACATTCCTCGCTTCTCTTATGTTGCTCAGCCTGCCTTTAAACTTTTGATTATCTGCCTCAGCCTCTGAGGGGATGGGATTACACCATTACATTTCCAGCTTTGTTTTGTTTTTTAGAGACAGCAGTGCTTTATCCTGTAAGGCTGGCCAGGAACTCAACATATAGCCCAAGCTCAAACTCCTGGGAATCCTTTCTCAGCTGCCAAAGTTCTGGAATTATAGGTGTGAGTGACTACCTACAGTCAGCATAGGCTTTCATTAACAGAGCAACAAACTCAATTAAAAAAATTTTTCTGGCCAGGCATGGTGGCACACGCCTTTAATCCCAGCACTTGGGAGGCAGAGGCAGGCAGATGTCTGTGAGTTCGAGGCCAGCCTGGTCTACATAGCAAGTTCCAGGCTGACTGGGACTACAGGGAGACCCTGTCTCAAAAACACCAAAAAAAAAAAAAAAATTTTTTTTTTCCTTGGGCCAGAAAGGTAGCTCAGTGATTAAGAGCACTGGCTGCTCTTGCAGAGGATCTGGGTGTGATTCCCAGTACCCACATGGTGGCAAACAACCGTCTGTAACTCCAGTTCCAGGGGAATCCAATACTCTCTTCTGATCTCCACAGGCATTAACACAACATGGGTGCACTTACATATACTCATACACGTAAAAATAAATTAAAAAAAAAATTTAACTTTTTTTTGTCTTTTTGAGACAGGGTCTCTGTAGCCCCAGCTGTCCTGGAACTCACTATGCAGACCAGGGTGGCCTTGAACTCACAGAGATCCACTTGCCTCTGCCTCCTAAGTGCTAGGACTAAAGGCGTGCGCCACCATGCCCAGCCAAGCATATGATATAAGATAATTCATTTTCCTATATAGTTAGTGAATGTAAATTGACGTTTTACAGAAAAAAAAAGTGCTGTTACTTTAAAATAATTAAAATTTGAAACATTTGTAACTTTTGACCTAGCAATTCTAGGAAATTATCCTAAATATAAGCTTATTCAATTGACTAGAGCTACAAAAGTAAGTACTGTTATACTACTGCATATAATGTTCATCAATAAAAGTTCTGTCGTTGCATTATTAGAAGCACATATCCTAAAGTTAAAAAACAATCAAGCTGCAAATAACAGGATTATTTTCAGTTCATTTTTGCTAAAAGAATTATGCCAGTTTTGTGTAGGCATAAATTATGGACAAATTTACGGAAGAGCAATAAATTGCATATGTCTTTGACTTTCTACTGAATATACATTTATTATATACGTATCATATAAAAACCATAAATATCTGGGTTTAGTGTTCACACACGCAATCCAGCATTTTGGAGGCTAAGATAGGAGACTGATATGAGTCTGAGGTCAACCTAGGCTACATAGTGTGTTCTGGCTGACCTGAGCCTACAGGTTTAGAGTCTGCCGTTTTTTTTTTTGTTTTTTTTTTTTTTTGAGACAGGGTTTCCCTGTAGCATCAGCTGGCCTGGCACTTACTATATAGACCAACCTGGCCTCCCTTGATATTATAGAGATTTGCTTGCCTCTGAGTGTCTGTCTTAAAGAAATAAATGAAATTAAATAAACACAAAGATAAGTATTAGTTATTGGCTGGGCATGGTGGCTCATACCTGTCATCCCAGCACTTGGAAGGCAGGCAGAGGCAGGAGGATGAAGTTTTTGAATGTTTTGAAATCCTGTCTCTAAACAACAAAAAAAATTTTTTTAAACTTATTTTTTAAATTTTTCAGTAGGGAATTGAACCCCAGACCTTGTGGGTGCTAGGCAAGCACTTTACCAATTAAATAATTAACTCCAGACCCTACTGAAAATTTTTTTTAAAAAAAAATTATTACTTTTTAAGTAGAAAAAAAACCCTCAGAAAGTATAAAGGCAAGGTAAGAACATTAGCAAGAAGACTATATTAGACTCTACAGCAGTGTTCACAAAAACACAGGAGCTGGGTGTGACATCACATCTGTTAATTCCAGGTAGGGGGGTCAAGTTCAAAGTCAGCCTGGACTATATAGGGAGACCCTAACCTAAAAGACAAACAATGGGGCTGGGAAAGTAGTTCAGATGGCATAGTACTTGCCTAGCACACACAAAATCCTGGGGTTTGATCCCCAGAACTGAATAAACCTAGCATGATACCAAATGCCTATAATTTCAGTACTTGGGAGCTAGAGGCAGGAAGATTGTTAAGTCTGAGGTTAATCTCATCTACACAGGGACTGGGAGGCCAGCCTAGGCTTCATGAGACTGTTTTAATGGAAAACAAACAAAAGATATAAACCATTCTATCATGACTAGGAGAGATACTACATCTTAAAATAGGGATTGTCTGGACATGGTGATTATATACCTTTAATTCCAGCATTTTGGGGGGAACAGGGCAGTCAAATCTCTGAGTTTGAGGCTAGCATGGTTTACACAGCGAGTTCCAGAACTGCATAGTGAGACCCTGTTTCAGAAAAACAAAACAAACACATGCACAAAACCAAAGAACTAGGGATTACAGACAGGTATGGTGGCACATGCCTATTATCCTAGCATTTGGGAGGCAGATGTTGGGAGGATTAGGAGTTCACAGCCAGTATCTGTTAAACAGTAAATTTGAAGTCAGCCTGGACTATAAGAGACTCTATCTCCACAATTTTTAAAAAATTAAATAAAATAAATTTAGTATTGAAATAACAGCTAAGGTATGAAACAAATAACTAAATTAGAATTTTCTGTACCAGTATAGAATAATTCAACAGAAAAATCTTGGGCTGGTGAGATGGGCTCCACAGGTAAGCATTTGTGGCACAAGCTTGAGGACGTGAGTTCAAATCTCCAGAATCCATGTAAAGCCATGTGTGCTGATACGTACCTGTAACCCCAGGGCTGTATGTGGGAGGAAGGTGGGGGTGGAGGCAGAGAGACTGCTGCAGTTTGCAGCTTAGGTTTAGTGTGAGACCCCATCTCAAGGGAATAAGGCAGAGTGATACAGCAGGATGCCATGTATCTTCCTCTGGCCTTTGAGAATGTGCAGAGGTGCACACACCTGCACACACATGTGGGTCTATACCACACATGCACACTACATCCACACCCTCATAAATGAATAAATAATGAAAATCTTAATATGGAAAGAGAATTCAGAAATGCATATTTGAAGGAGACTGACTTAACATCAGCTTAATTTTAACTTTGAAGAAAAATGTTCTTTTTTTTTTTTTTTTGGTCTTTTTGAGACAGGGTCTCCCTGTAGTCCCAAAATGTTCTTTCTTTTTTAAGGTTTATTTTTATTTTATAAGTGTTTTGCCTACATGCATGCATGTGCATCATGTGTATGCCTGGTGTCCCTGGCGGCCAAGAGAGGGCATCAGATCTCCTAGAACTGGAGTTATAGGTAATTGTGAGCTGCCATGTGGGTGCTGGAACTGAATGAACCCGGGGTTGCCTGCAAGAGCAGCAAGTGCCTTTAACCACTGAGTCATCTCCCCAACTCACAGATGTTATTTCAAAATAACATTTTTTTTTTTTTTTTTTTTGGTCTTTTTGAGACAGGGTCTCCCTGTAGCCCGAGCTGTCCTGGAACTCACTATGTAGACCAGGCTGGCCTTGAACTCACAGAGATCCGCCTGCCTCTGCCTCCCAAGTGCTGGGATTAAAGGCGTGCACCACCACGCCTGGCTATTTTTTAATATTTTTATGTGTATACAACGTGTATTGCCTGCATATAGGCAAGTGCACCCATGTCGTGCAATGTCCGCGGAGGACAGAAGAGGCTGTCAGATCCCCTGGAACTGGAGTTATGGATAGCTATTAGCTGCCATGTGGGTGCTGGGATTTGAACCCAAGTCTTCTGCAAGAACATTTAGTGTTCTTAACTGCTGAGCCATCTCTCCAGCCCCAAAATCTTTATATCTATTGTTATGACACATTTGTTGTGCTGTGAATTTCACCTTGTCCTTGATGCTTAGGGCTCTATGTAGACCAGGCTAGCCTTGAACTCACAGAAATCTGCTTTCCTCTGCCTCCCAAGTGCTGGGACTACAGGCGTGCGCCACCACGCCCAGCTCAAAATAACATTTTAAAAAAATTTATTTTATGCATTTATGTGTGTGGGTGTGCATGGGCCATGGTACATGTGTGGAAGTCAGAGGACAACTTGTGTGAGTTGGTTCTCTCCTTCCACCATGTAGAATCCAGGAATCAAACACAGGTTATCAGGCCTGGAATCATCTGAATCATCTCACAGTCTCTCTAAATAAGTTTTAGAAACATTTTAGTTTTTCTAAAGAGAAAAAAGTGAGTGGAGGTGGGAAGAAACAGAGAGGAGGTAGGAAGAAGTCAACTAAAGGCCAGTCCATTTGGTGACCTGGCACCTTATGAATATATTATACTATTGCCATGTTATGATCATTAAGCTGTGTACTCCAACAAATACGACATTTGTAGAGAAATAATTCATTTCAATATAATACGGCTGCAGAGTACTATGACTCCTTATTTTCCAGTGCACACTGGGATTTCTACAGCAGAACCAGTCAACGTTTTAGTTTTCTTCTAATACATACATGCTCATGCATTCCACCAATTGAAATACCTACTTAAAATAACAACACTTAGCTGGGTGTGGTGGCGCACGCCTTTAATCCCAGCACTCAGGAGGCGGATCTCTGTGAGATCAAGGCCAGATAGTTCCAGGACTGCTGAGGCTAGAGGGAGACCCTGTCTCAAAAAGACCAAAAAAACCCCAAAAACAAACAAACAAAAAAACAACACTAAGCATTACCTACCCGTTGTCCAGAAGAGAAAGAATGAGAACAACTAACTTCCCCAACTAAATGAAGGAGAATGTAGGTCAGGTAATATGCCTGTTGGAGGAATGAAGAAAATACCCATGAAAAAACTAGCATATAAATGTCATTCCAGTTTCCTTATTAGGCAAAGTTGCCCAGGGAAGATAAAGCATTTAATTCATTTGTAGGGAAGGAAAAGCTATGCATTTAAACCAGGCTTTCTGATTTCTAAATCAGTGCTTTCTTTCACCATGTCACAAATGCCCTATCGCAAGGGCTACAAAAAAGTACTTTCAACATTTAATTACTAACAAACTATCCTTTAACCTCAATTCTACTGAAGAACTTCATGACAAAAAAAAAAAAAATCACTTTCTCCCTTATGTGCATGCACTTTGAGCTCTAGCCCTAGATACCTGCTTTTCAAGTTCTAAATGAAGACTGTCATCAATAGTTCCATTTGGTTCTTCAGCCCTTTTCTTCAAGACCATTTTCTTCAACAAATCAGAAGGCTTCATTTGCACAAGATAGCGATGTAGGACTGATATCTGTCAAAAGAAGAGTGGTCAATACTAAACAACACAGTTGTTCTTTCTTGGGCTAACTTCCCCCAGTGTGTCTACTGGCCATTCTGCCCCTTTACCCTTTCTTCACAGTTCTAAAACATCTATTCCTTCTTTAGTTCAAAGCTCTCAATTGCTTAAGAAGGGATTTTAAGTTAAAGATTTAGTATTTGTAATTCAGGAGAAATGCTTAGGAAGAAACCTAATGATATTGTAACAGAGGTCATAGGGAATGCTTTTTCTGTGAGATTGTTTGAAAGTCAGCAAAGTTGAATTTTCCTGTGGACAGTCACTAAATTCTAAAAAGAAGCACTATCTATCATGTTTGTAATCCAGACACTTGAAAGGCTGAGGCAGGAGGATCATGGGAGTTTGAGGCCAACCAGGGTTACACAGTGAATTCCAAGTCTGGCTTACATCAAGTAGTGAGTCTGAGGGTCAATTATTCATGTAGTTGTCTTTTTTTATAGATAAAAAAGGAAAAGGTGCCAGGTATACCAAAGTTAGTAGGCAAATGGCAGAAATCCTATCTTGGATCTCTTGGTGTTCATAAATATCACTTAAACCATCAAGAGCTTCTTGTTAATGATCCTGTTGGCTCAAGAATAGTGCCCATATATCTAGAATCAAATCTGCTTCGACCAGACTAAAGTAGAAACCAGATGTCCCATCAATCTTTATGTCGCACAGCATCTGTGCACACCTCTAATACTATTCTTACAATGTTTTGTGTATTTTGTTTCAACCACTATATTACGTCTTCCAGGGGAGAGTTTCTAATCTGTTTCATTTTAAATTTATTCCTAGGACCCAATAGAGTACCTTGCAGTGAAAGGCAATTCAAATAACAATACAGGAACACCCAGACCAAGTTCTGGGTGAATTTTCAAATCCACCTAAGAGTACTATTGGTACTATAATTGTTTGCTCAAAGTCTTCAGAAGTTCTCAGAGTGGAGTTTCCATAAGACCTTTTATGCATACTTACACATAGCATATCCACTACTAGGTAAGAACTGGAGGCAAACCATAATAGATTCTACAATCTAAAAGGGCCATTTATAATATTAAAACAGGTATAAGATGCAGCAAATATATAATAGCTCGTAATGTCTAATCTTTTTAAAAAAATTTTTAATTTATATGTATGGATATACTACCTGCAAGTGTGTAAGTGCACCCAGGTTGTGCAGTGCCATCAGATTCCCCTGGAACTGGGGTTAGGGACAGTTGTTAGCTGCTGTGTAGATGCCGAGAATCGAACCTGGGTACTCTACAAGAGCACCCTGCAAGAGTAGCCAGTGCTCTTATCTGCTGAACCACCCCTCCAGCTCCTACAATGTATAATCTTGTGATACTGCTAATCTTGATAAACTGAACAAATTTGTAAAGTCATAGCTATACAATAGCACATTATAATTTCCCTAATAGTTTATTTATACAATAATTCATCTGTCTACAACTATTCTGAATGGTATAGGCTATGATACCATCTCCATTTTAATCCATGCCTAAAAGATGATATTTAACTAGGACTTCTGATCTATGATCCATCCATTTTTCCAACACCTAATTAACTCGCTCATTTATCGAAACAAAAATGAATCTATACCTGCAGATTATTGGCATTAGAGACATCTTCATGTTTCTCATCCAAAAGCTTTGAAATAATCACTAGACTGAGGCACTGTCTCAGCTGCCTGGAATTAGAAATTAAAAGGTATTTACAATGTATTTTACACAATACTGTTTGAGAAGCAAGTAAATGAACCAAAAATAGTCTTAGAGGTTTTCAAGGCCATATAAGAACATATCAGCCTGGTGGTGCATGCCTTTAATTCCAGCAGTCGGGAGGCAGATGGATATCTCTGAGTTCGAGGCCAGACTGGTCTACATAGTGAGTTCCAGGCCAGCTGGGGCTACAGAGAGATCCTGTCACAAAAAGACAAAAACAGAAAAACAAAATAAACAAAAACCAAACATATCAACTATTATAGAACAGTAAATATTCATGTAAAATGTATGCATATAGCCGGGCATGGTGGTAGATACCTTTAAACCCAGCACTCGGGAGGCAGAGGCAGGAGGATCTCAGTAAGAGAGACCTGGTCTACATAGTGAATTCCAGGCCATTTGGGGCTACAAGAAAATGAAAAAAAGCACATAAAGTCAGAATTAACTAGGCTGGGATGTAGTTCAGTTGGTAGAGTGCTTGCTTGGCATGGCATACACTAGGCCCTGGTGTGGTACATGCCTGTAATCCTAGTACTCAGAAAGTGGAGGCAGGAAGCTCAGGAGTTCAAGGTCATCCTCTACTACATGAGAACTTTCTCAAAAAAAAAAAAAAAGAGAGAAAGAAATTGCTTATAGATCAGTAAAATAAGAACTTTTATCCTTGATGTTGCTAATTTACTTATAGAAAATCAACCTATTTTATTGCTGGAATAAATAATCTTACTAAGGAAAAACAAAGCTAATTCATTTTATCTATACTGACTTATCTGACAAACTAAAAATAAAAACCAAGAACTGTATTTTGAATTAAGTAGCAAATTGGGACTTCAATGCCTTTTCCTTCAACAGAATATGTAAGGATTTGATTGAACATTCAAAAAAAAATGATGACTAGAAATAAAAACTCCAAGTTGACTGTTATGGCACAGGCCTGTAAACCTAACACTCAGCAGGGAGGCAGGTGGTTTTGGCCAGTCTGAGCAAAACAGCAAGACCCTATCTCTAGAGAAGAGCCCCAAAGCATTGAATTAGATAAGCACTATAAAACTTCTTAACACTTATCTCACTTTTCAGTACCTTCCACGTGATGTCCAGTTAGGGACTAGCTGAACCAACCACAGAAGGTTGTGTGGATGACTGGAGAGTTCATTTATGCCCAGAGAGAGTTCATGCACCTGAAAAAGAGAACAAGCAAAGAATCAAATCTGCATACCTTCTTGCCTTGATTGGGAGCGCTAATATATACACACTCAATCTTTTAAAGTGCTTAGAGCTTAGAACGTATTAAAATGCACATAATACAGATTCTACTTTATCTTAAATTATTCTAGAACAAACACAGCTAAGAGAAGTTAATTTTGCTTTGTTTTGTGTTACATTAGCTCTCTACCTGGCGGTCTTTCTTGGAAGAATAAAATAATCTAAACAGAAATTCCAAATGTGTACAATGAAACACAAAGGTCATGCATATTCCTGACCTGAAAATTCTTAACTTAAGGATCCTACAACAGTACTTTAGTTTACTTCTGGTGATGAGGATGTAATTTCAGAGCCTGTGCATACTAGGCAAGTGCTCTATACTGACCTATACTCTAGCTATCTACTTTGGTATTATTAAAAGTCTAACAGTTGCTTCAAAATAATCTGGTGAGTATGAGGTGTGATTAATAGATATGATGAGACTGAGTACGTCCTGATAATTTCTGGAGCTTGGTGACAGCTACTCAGTTTATTACAATCCTCCCTGCCTCTATGGATGCTTTAGATTTTACACCAAAAAATGGTTAAAAAGTGTAATTATTTAAAAAGGCCTATTAGGATTATCCATGCTCATCCTCTATATGGCTATAGAAGTTCAACTCAAAGTCTGGCTGTCAGTATCATGTCATTTCTTAAAGGCCTTCCCTGAAGATTCAGGTGAGGACATCAAATCTGTACTTTGCTGTTCTCTTCACCTAAGTCCTGCTCTATTTTAATTTGTAACACTTAATTAAAATCTGACATATTATAATATATAGTTCCATAAGGGCAAAGGTATTGAATCACTTATAAATGCTTAGACCACAGTAAATCTCCAATAAAATGTTTAATAAATAGCTACTTTTAGAAAGGATTCAGTTATTAATTTAAATAATATAGTTCCTGGAAACACAGTGCATTTGTCAATTCCTTTTCATATGTAAAAGATTTTTGGTCTTTTTGAGACAGGGTCTGCCTGTAGCCCCAGCTGACCTTGAACTCAATAGAATATGTAAGGATATTCATCTGCCTCTGTATCCCAAGTGCTGGGATTAAAGGTGGGTGCCACTATGCCTGGTCCACATGTAAAAGATTTTTAACTGGGCTTATAACCCCCTAACCTGAATGCATATGAAAGTCAAACTGTGATATGTCTAAAAACCCCAACACCTGGGGCTGGAGAGATGGTTCAGTAGTTGAGAATACGAATTGCTCTTGCAGATGAAGATTGGTGTTCAGTTCCCAGCACCCACACAGCAACTAACAACCATCTGTAATTCCAGTTCCAATGGGTTTTAGTACCCTCTTCTGGCATCCTTGGGAACTGCATGCATGTGGTACACATAGAGGCATTCAGGTGAAAAACATATTCAAAAAAAAAAAAACCTTAAAAAAACATACCCTGCCAAGTGTGGTGGTGCACACTTTAATCCCAGCACTTGGGAGGCAGAGGCAGGCAGATCTCTGTGAGTTCAAGGCCAGCCTGGTCTACACAGTGAGTTCCAGGACAGCTGGGGCTATAGGGAGACCCTGTCTCAAAAAGACCAAGAAAACAAAAAACAAAAAACAAAACAAAACCATACCCAACATCCAAAGGTTTTTTGTTTGTAGACAGTCTTGTGTAGCCAACTATGTAGCCAAGGATAACCTTAACGCCTGTTTTTCTTGTCCCTTCCTCCTAAATGCTGAGATTAGAGGTGTGTGTGTCCACCACCCTTGGGGCAACACCTGAATTTTAAGAAACATTACCTTTGTGTTCCAATCTCTGATGTTTTTCATGAGGTTTATAAGGAGGCTTTGAAAGTCTACTAAAGGAATCTGTTTCAGTTCTTTTTCCAAACTCATTTTAAACAACATTAAAATCAGCAACATTATTTCCCGATCTTGGTATCCTTCTGGATATATAGATGTACACAAGCCTAGAAACTGACAGAGATGGACAGACAAAACAAATGAAAAAAAATTTTCACTTTCAGTTTTAATTTGAAAACACTTTCAAACAAAAGATGCAAAACAGAACCACACAGATAAAAAGTATGAGATGTCTATAAAGGCCAGAGATACTAACAGTAGAATGAGATGATGTGTTTTCTTCTCCATTTTCAAAATGATTATTATTAACTTGATTCAGCCAATAAAATGTTTCACACTGTTAAGTTCTTTTCTTTTTTGCGATAAGAGTCTCACTGTAACCCCAGGTGGCCTGGAACTTGGTATGTAGACCAAGCTGGCCTTGATCTCACAGAGGTACACACACTTGCCTCTGCCTCCCGAATGCTGGTATTAAAGACATGGGCCACCATGCCTGCCTGTTATTAACTCATGATCTCTAAATTATGCTGTAACACCTTTTTTTCTTCATCTATCATCATAATTCTAAAAAACTACTGGTTTTAAAATTATTTTCATGGTGAAACTCTGATCTAAAGTTTCCTTTTACTAATATTTAAACAAAAATATACAAAAATCCACTTTTAACACACATACTATTTCTAAGAAATTCTACTTTGTGAGAAACTAGCAAAATCACTTGGTAAGAAACTAGTGGCGTTTTTAAACCACTAACAACAAAACTGGTTCTGGCCATTTGCCAAAAACACACAGACAAGTTTTTTCCTACCTTAACCACGTTTAAAATGTTGGTTTCAGGAAGAGCTGAAAAAACTGGATTACAAGCTGAGTCTTCACTTCCTTTCCCCCCGAGGGTTTTCTGGGTTTCAGAACTATTGAGAAGTGAATAAAGAATGTACGTGAGAACTGCTGAGAAAGCAATATGAAACTAGATGTAACAATTCACTGGCTGTAAGAAATACTGAACAACTATTTTTATGGAACAGGATCTCATTATGTCGTCCTAGCTGGCTTGGAATTCACTCTGTAGACCAAGCTACTCTCAAACTCACAGAGATCTGCCTGCCTCTGCCTCCTGAGTACTGGAATTAAAGGTATGTGTCACCATACCCAGCTTTATTTCATGTGTCTAAGTGTTATGCCTGCATGCATATAAGTGCACCAGTGTTGTGCAATGCCCACAGAGGTCACAAGAGGGCATCATATCCCCTGGAACTGGAGTTAGGGATGGCTGTTAGCCTCCATGCAGGTTCTAGGAACCAAACCAGGGTTCTCTCTAGGAGCAGTCAGGGCTTTAGCTGCTGAGCCATCTCTCCAGCCCCCAAACTTTCTTTTCTTTTTTTTTTTTTTTTTTTTTTTTTCCTTTTCTTTTTGGTCTTTTTGAGATGTCTCCCTGTAGTTTCCAGTTGGCCTGAAATCATGCTGGCTTTGAACTCATAGATATTCGCCTGCTTCTTCCTCTCAAGTGCTAGGATTAAAGGTGTGCACCACCACCATGCCCAGTTTGATTTAAAAAAAAAGATTTACTTTTATTATTTTTATTTATGTGGATGTCTATGTGAATAAATGCCACATGTGAAGAGCACCCTTGGAAACCAGAAGTGGGAGTCTGATCCTGAGGAGCTGCAGTTACAGGCAGTTGTAAGCTGTCAGATATGGATGTTAGGAACTGAACTCGGGATCTCTGGAAGAACAGCCAAGTGCTTTTAATTGCTGAGTCATCTCTAGGCCTATGAAACTTTTTTGAGACAGAAACAGTCTTTGAGACTTTGAGGCCTAGGCAAGCCTCAAATTTACAATCATCCTGCCTCAGCTGCCTGAGTAGGTAGGATTTTCCAGGTGCAGGCTGCTGTGCCCAGCTT